AAACACAGCAGTATGAGCATAATTATATTTCTTTCCTACCGCAGACTCCACAAGCCAATTTCGAATTGAACTACTGCATAAAACTCTGAGTTAAATCATCCAAAAAAGTACGAAAATGTCGAAAGCAAGAATATCGTTATATTGTTTTAGACAAACTGGACAAGCAAACTAATAAAGACGCATTTCAACATAGCTTTCCAACTACAGATCCTACAAGCAAATCTGGAGTTTGAACTGCTATATAAAACTATTAATTAATCAATTCCAAAAGTCCAAAACGGTATGATAAGTGTAAAGTAAGGATGTAAGTATCAGCTAATATTATTTCAACAAATTGAATAAATAATGTTGCCAACATCTTTTAATATGCCTTTTCTACTGAAGACTCTACAAGCTAATTTGAACTATTTAATTTCGATATGGAAAAATGGTATAAAAAGGTCGAAAAGAAGCGGCTAAAGCCTAATCCATAATTGTTTGGACAAACTGAAGAATCTAAATTGGTATATTTCAATATTACTTTCATATTGCAGATTTACAAGCCAATTTGAAATTTGAAGTCTTACACAGGTATTCACTCCCAATAGCGCAAAATAGTATGAAATAGTCGAAAACAAGGATCCAAACATAAGCCAATATCATTGGGGCATATAGAGCAAATAGTATAGACATATTTCAATGTACCTTTCCTACAGCAGACTCTACAAGCAAACTTGGACGGTTTTAAATGCTGTATAAAATGACGACCTGTCAAACGAATAGTAGCCTCTTTCTTTTCCATTTCCATTTTTTCTTCGCAAAATAGTAGGTCAGTAATCACCTAATAAACAAAGGCAAATAAATACAGTTACTAATGCTGTTATATCTTCATTTCCAGTTGATCGGAAGGTACAGCATGTAAGTTGAGTTTGTTCTTCGTCTACACTAGCAGATATTGTTGAATTATTGCGCATACGACGGAATCATTTTATAGCCGATTAATGATACAATGAAGAAGCGAAACTATACAACCAGAGACTAGTGCAACTATGGTATCATCAATAAATTATGGAAAATTTTAAATTCTATAAGTACAGGCATTGCAATCTCATAGTATCTTGTGCCTGTTGGTAATTATTTCCATTAAATTAAAATATTATTATTTTTTATTAAATTAATATTCAATTGGATCGCTATATTCTACAAGGGAATGTCGAATAGCTGATCGGAACTTTTTATCCTTTTAGCAGCTAGACGATGAACTGGGTATTAAAACCATGTTCATTCATGTATATGTGAATTTTTAAAATATATCCTAAGCCAAAGACAGAAATTCTATTTGGTTTTCTTACCATAATGCTATTATTTACAAGGCAACTAGGGCAGACTCACAATAACTACATATTGGTTTTATAAATTCACAACCCCAAAAATAACCTTACATCATGTTGAAATTGTAGAAAAGATTTGCCAAGGTAAGATCTATCATTCTGAAAGATAATGAAGGCGTTTCGCATGCAAACTTGGAGCAATTGGATGCCCAATTTCTTGCCTAATTTAACAGCTTTTCCAGACACGTGTTGTAATTTCATACTCTAAAATAGAATGGAATTGACGACAGATGATGCTACGACAAATGGAAAATACTGCTCTAAATTAAACTAGTCAAGATTTATATGTGAAATAATTCAGCAATATCTGACTGAAAATTAGGTTACAAAAATACTCTCAAGTATGCTGAACTAACCAGATCTTGTTTGGAAGCATTATCCATGTTTTGATCATAGCGAAGAAGTGCCGTAATTTTCTTCTTATTCAAATCATGATTGGGCATATCGTTGGATTTTTTAGGCTGATCTTGATGATTAACTTGTTGTGTAGTTAGATCACTATGAAGGCTAGAAAGAATACATAATGGCTCTTCTTTTCTCCACTTGAGACAAAGTAAGGGACCAGAACGATAAGCGATCATTTCTTCTTGACTTTGATTCAAAAGATTTTCAATTGTAGGCGGTAGATTTTGAGGTAAAATGATACCGCAAGCATTGGTTTTACGTCGATAAAGATAATCAAAAAGCGGAATGGAAGTAAAATGTTGATCCATATAAACGTTGTAGCCCTGATCGAGAAAGGGTTTCAGAAGAGATAAAGCTAATTTCTCCTTAAAATTCCATTTCTCGGTTTCCGTAGGTATAGAGAAAACCTTTCTAGTACAAGTTTTACTATCGTCATTGCATACTTGAAATTGAAACATATAGCCTGATTTACTTTCACGTAAATAATGCAATTTTATATTGACTAACGTTTCGTGAGATGCTGTTTCTTCACAAATATGCTTTCTTTTAACCTTAATAGTTAATGTATGAAGAGCAATATCCTGTTCGGCATCATAGACATATCTAAATTTTTGATTAAAATAATCAAGTAAGGGCCTGATGTTACATAACCGATCGCATAGTATTTCGTCTTTATCATTTCGATGCTGATCATCATTAAAGCGTAGACATCGCAATAAAAGTATAAAGCGTTTCTTAGTCATGATCGATTGGAATAGCGGTGTTTCGTAAAGCGGATCAAGAGACCAGTAATGAAAAACATTTGGTTTCTCAATGATACCCATTAAAAGTAGCAAGCCAATAAATTTCTTCATTTCGATCATCGTTGTTGGGACCCATAACTGCTTTAATTGCTTAATAGTTTCTCCATTGCCATTTTGCTGTTCAAGTAATTGAAACACAAACTGATTCGTAGCCATAACGAATTGATCAAATAGACTGTTGGGCACAAATAATTGAAAGTAATGGACTGCATCATAAAAAGTAGTATCGTATTTTATCCCAGGATACCCTTTAAACGGATGTGGCAAGGCTTCAGACCAATTTGCTGGTAGCCATTCATCGTATCGCCAAGGTAAGTGTGGTGATATGGAAAGAAGATCATGATTAAGGCTTTTCTCGTGAACACAATGATTCTCATTACTTTTCATAATTTTGATCTGTTTACTATCAGGATAGGCGTCTTCATACTGACTTTCTCCTTGGCTGCTATCACTATCTGCCATTTTACTTTATAGCCCTAATCTATCACAATGAAAGTCCCAGTGATAGAGAATAGTTGACTTTATTTTATGGATGTTAAGATTGCATGATTTTAATTTTAATTCTGCTCAGCATTGATCAATTTTTGAATGAATACTGATTTAGGTGCATTTCAACTATCTAAATTAGTCAAAAATTTCCAATTCTAATTTGTGATTAATGCGTAGCTATAAAATAGATGGGCCATTTTAAAATGCTATTGCTAATTTTATTTTGGAGCCATTAATATGTGATTTCTAGCAAGTCCTACTCATGATATTGACAGAGGAATCGATTTTTTAGACTTTTCTTTTACGAATGTATAGGCAGATATATTGGCAACTAAATTAGAACAACGGGAATAATAATAGAAATACATCTTTAACAAATTTATTCTACGACTATCACTTGGATAATACTAGTGCAATGGACTATTTTTGGTGCAATATAGTGACCCATTATATTAAATTTTAATTATCGAAATTCTCTTAATATCAAGTCGTCACTTGTCAGTATCGTAATTCATCTCAACATAAGACAACTACCTTACTTTATATGTGGAAATGAAAGATATGGGAAGTAATCCAAGAAATCAGCTACCCTGGGTATTAAATAACTCTGAAGTTGGCTACCTCTACTTAAACGCCGGAGCCTGTATTTGCAGTTTATTAGAGATTTTATTTACTTCTGTCTAGTTTTCATACTTATTCGTAATTGGTCTACGCAGCAATGAGATTACGAGGCGATCAAATAAATAATTACTGTTATGCCACTGTTTGCTTGATTTGGCTGTATGGTGTCCAAATTATTAGCGTATTGTCATATTGAATTGAAATATTAAAGGAACAGCAAAATGCCTTGTAAAATATCAATATCTCTAGTATAGACTAATGTTACACAAATTTTAAAACCTAAAATCAACCGTACTGATGGCTTACATCCATCCATAAATGGAATACGAGCACAACGTAGTATAGAAGACTTTTAGTAGTAAGAACTTTTTCCTTAGTCTTTGGTGTGAAATTACAGGCCATCTATTGCATTTAATAATCGACTGAACAGCATGCAAACAGCGGATTACAGAGCTGCAAGTTTTAGTCTAGAAGTTAGTGGTAATTTTCCAGTCCGGAAGTAAAAATTTATATTTCATTCCAATCGTAAAAGATATTAAATATATTGATCATGGATATCCAATTGTAACTAGCTTTCTTTTCTTGCAGAATATGTTTTAAACATACTATCAACAGTTCTATCATCGTATAAATTGTAAAGGATTGCAGTAATAATCAGGAACTTAAAATGATGCATCTAATAACGCTAATACTACCGCTTTAGTCACAGTTTAATTTAATCACATATTCAGTGTATTAGAAAAGAAGTGGTATAGATTAAATTAATACGAATAAGTGCTTACGATGTCTCGACTTCTTATATTATGAAGTATGCATAGGATCTTTGAAAAGTTGATTAAGACAAGTTTCAAATTTCCTTTCTAAATTAATTTAACACGAATAGGTTAAATTGCAGCAATACAATAGTTTCACTTAATTTGGCATCGCAACGGTATGATAAAATTATATCGTGTATCGATTGATGCTTGAAACCGTTATGGACTAAAGCGATGCGTGCATTAACAGCAAATAATTTTTCTAATGCAGGCGTTTTTGCTCGTCTTTTAACTCTCCATTACCAGTAATATTGGAATGATGCAAAGAAATAATATGAACAAATAGATTGTAAATGATAGCATTCGTGCTGGCCCATATACTGGCAAAGGTGAAATACAAGTATTTGTGTTGAAGATTAATACATGCAAGTTCAGTATTAAAACCAGTTAAGACCAAGACCAAAGCTAAAATCATATTTAAAAACAATATTATCACTACTTAAGGCTATACACACAATTTGTATCCGTTAAATAATAACGTCGGACTAAAATAAAGTCTATCCTAGTTCCGCACTTGCAAATGCAAAAATATTGGATAAAGGTAGTTTGGGTATAACACCAGTATACATTCTCCCACTCTCTCCAAAATATTGCAAATTTAATCTTTCAGCTAGAAGTATACCGTCAGAATTAGGTTCAGGAATATCGAAATCAACTTTAGTATCGCTTTCCGAAGGACACAAAGCGTAAAGTAAGTTTTCTGCGATTTCGGGTGTCTCAGCAAATAGTGGTCCTACCCTATAACCATCGACACCAAGGCGAATACCTCCAAGGCCTTTGATAGTGCCATCGTCCTCGATATAAACTAAACATTGATCAGTTCCTACATGTATCCATGACGCTAAGAAATGTGTCCTTTGACAAGGAAAATGGCGAGCATCATATTCTATCAACTTATCCATTGAGATATCTTTGGCGCGTCGTATATTTTTACAAATTTGGGCTTTTCTTTGTATGACGCCAATATACCTTTTAACAGCAGTAGCATATTGAAATCCAAATTTCTTGTAATTTTTCTGCTGAGAAGGAACAGCATCCAGTCCAATACAACATCCAGTTAAATGTTCCATGGCGTGTTTAAATATACGTAAGCCATAACCTTTGCCGCGATGGTTTTCCTCAACTATATAACGCCCGATATATCCGCAAGTAGTATTAGGATACTTGACAGCAGCGATACAACACACCGGTTTACCATTCAATAAACCAATGAAGAAACCATTTGGATCCACTAGTTGAAATGCGATTGCGTCTTTCAATCCAGGATTCCATTTCTCACGTTCGGACATTGTCGACATCCAGTTCACATCTTCCGCTGATGCTGTCACGATTTGAAAGTCAGAATTTGTGTTATTCGTTTCCATGTCTCTATTTATTTTTTACGCCAAGCTCTATTACAGCAAGATCAAACCAGATTCCCTTTTACTACTTCACTGATTACAATATCTACAATTAGTGGGCACAAAGCGAAGTGGTTGTAGTTACTTTGGTTTAGAAGCTTTTTCTACTTTCAATCTACTCTGTATCAAGGACTAGTCTAGTTGGTTTCTTTGGTATTACCCTGGTTTAGAAACTTCTTCCTGCTTTCAATCTAATGAATTTTATCAGTGGGTCTCGCTGACTTTATTTGTTGTTGCCTTGGTAAAGAAGCTCTTTCTGTTTTTCAATTTATTCTATATTTGGTAATAGTCTGTTTGGGTTTCCTTGCAGTTACCTTAGCATAGAAACTTCTTTTACTTTCAATCTACTAAATATCCAGTAGCTCTAGTATAGCTTGTTTGCGATTGCATATAATTGCAAGCCTCCTTCTGCTTTTAATGTAACATATAGCAGGTAATAGTCCAGATGGGTTTCCTTGGGTTGTCTTGGCTTAGAAGCTTGTGCTTTCAATCTACTGCACTTCTAGCAATTTTAGCTTGGCTTCTTTACGCTCTTCCTACTTTCAATCTACTAGATTACCTGCACTATAGTAGACTAGTAGGGCTTGTTTGAAGTTGCCTTGGATTAGAAGCCCCTTGCTACCTTTGATCTACTCTATTTTAAGCAATGCCTGTTTCTTTGCAGATTGACTTGTTTTGAAGCCTCTTTCTGCTTTAAATCGAATGAAAATTTACCTCGCTAGATTTCCTGGAGGTTGCCTTGGTTCCAGAAGCCTTTTTGCCTTAAATTGACTCTATTCCAACAACGATTTTAGCTGGATTTCCTTGCTTTAGAAGTTTCTTTCAGCTGTCAATCTACCGAATACTTAGCAATAGTCTAACTTGTCTTCCTGGAGGTTGCCTTGGTTTCAAGAGGGTAGATGAATCAAGGAGTGTCGAAGCGTTTTAGACTTGCTATCAACTAGCAAGCCAGAGACTACTAGTACCAGCCTCTAATGGCGTTATACGAAGAGTCCAAAATACTAGATCAGCCCTCTCTCCCAACGTCCGCGAACACCTATCTTTCTAGAGCAGCGCTAGGATTAAAATACGCCAATGAAATAATACAATATTGTTGATGTAGATTCGTTACTATTTAGTACTAGAATGAGGCCAATTCCAACCTTTTCCATATGCTATGCATTACTGAACTTCATTCAGCGTTGTAGAGGTCCATAGTCCATTATATTTTACTGCATGAATATTCAGCGACGATGATATAGCCATACAGTAACAAAATAAAATAGTGTTCAGTCAGTATAGGGAATGTAAATTAACCAGGATGTCCAGCAGTATCCATCACTATGGTGATGCAGCATATTGCACATCTTCATCCATTGTCACACCCACCACTTGCTGGACAAAATAATCAATTTAGCCAATTAACCAATATCATCGTGTAGTGCTTGGATTTTACAACCCCTTAGCGTTATATTCTCTCGTACGACACTAGGTCAATCACCCAATAATTTCTAGGCATTACCAGTCTATCATACATAACCCTTAGGTTCGCAATTGTCGAACTCCAAATCTGAGATATAAAATTAAGCAAATCTCTAATGTGATACGAATAGTAAAAGTAAACTATTTCATCGTCAGCAATTATGAAATTACCTTATAAGTATAGTAGACTATTCTACACCTTAATGCTACCGTACTTCAATTACTACTGTAATTAGCTGAAACTACGACACATTGCATGCATACGCATAATACTTTCATTCATTTTATCACCAAGGTCTTCCGAATGAGTGAAGAGATAGTTCTGCCTTTATACTGGCTTTTTTATCGGATGCTTATAATCATGCTCTCATTACTTTGTAGCCTGATATATCACAATGAAAGTCATAATGATAGAAAACAGTTGATTTATGAGTACTGCGATTGCTTGATTTTAATTGTTTTTATTCTGCTCAACATTGATCAACTTGTTAAACACGTTTGTTAGTATACACAGGCGATAAAGATATACAGCGTAAAGTATCAGCAAAATCATGGTGATTGATATTCCTTCAGCTCCTCAGGAATTCTTTAGAAATCCCCCTACTGCATTCCCATACTAAGTATACTACTTTATATCCCAAACAAGATTTTAATTTCATGCTGTTTATATATAGTATTATCACTACTTACGGCCATAATAGCTTTCCATATATTTTATATTCGTCACATAAAAACGGCGAATTAAAATATAGTCTATCCTAGTTCCGTGCATGCGAATGCAAAAATATTGGGTAATGGAAGTTTGGTCCTAGCGCCAGTATACATTCTTCTACTCTCTTCAATATGCTGTAAATTTAGTCTTTCGGCTAGACATATACCGTCAGAATTAGGCTCAGGGACATCGAAATCAACTTTAGTATCGCTTTCCGAAGGACACAAAGCATAAAGTAAGTTTTCTGCGATTTCGGGTGTCTCAGCAAATAGTGGTCCTACTCTATAACCATCGACAGCGAGACGAATACCTCCGAGGCCTCTGATAGTGCCATCGTCCTCGATATAAACTAAACATTGATCAGTTCCTACATGTATCCATGACGCTAAGAAATGTGTCCTTTGACAAAAAGAATGGCGAGCATCATATTCTACTATCTTATCCATTGAGATATCTTTGGCATATCGTATATTTTTACAAATTTGGCTTTTTCTTTGTATGATGCCAATGTACCTTCTTACAGCATGAGCAAATTGAAATCCGGATTTCTCGTAATTTTTTTGCTGAGAAATGACAGCATCCAGTCCAATATAGCATCCCGTTAAATAATCCATGGCGTGTTTAAATATACGTAACCCATAACCTTTGCCTCGATAGTTTTCCTCAACTATATAGCACCCGATATATCCGTAAGTAGTGTTAGGATACTTGACAGCAGAAATACAGCACATCGGTTTGTCATTCAATAAACCAATAAAGAAACCGTTTGGATCCACCAGATGAAACGCAACTGCGTCTTTCAATCCAGGATTCCATTTCTGAAGTTTGGTCATTGTCGATATCCAATTCATATCTTTCGCCGACGCTGTCACAATTCGAAAGTCAGAATTTGTGTTATTCGTTTCCATGTCTATATTTTTACGCCAAGCTCTATTACAACAAGATCAAACCTGATTCTCTTTAGATGCTTTACTAAGTACAGAATCTAAAAATTATTCAATATAAATAAAAGTGTTTGTCGTTGCCTTGCTTTCAATGCTTTTTCTACTTCCAATCTACTGTGTAGCAAGCGCTAGTCTAGTTGAGTTTCTTTGTTGCTGCCCTGGCTTGCAAACTTCTTCCTGCTTTCAGTCTACCGAATTTATAGGTGGATTTCGCTGAGTTTTGTTTGCAGTTGCTTTGGTTTAGAAGCTTTCTCCACTTTCAATCTATTCTATATCTAGTAACAGTTGCTTAAGTTTCCTTGCAGATGCCGTAGCATAAATGCTTCTTTTCGCTTTTAATCTACTGAATAAGTAGCAGGTCAAGTTGGAATTGTTTGCGGCTGTATGCATTAGAAGGCTCCTTCGGCTTTCAATCTATTGTATATCCGGTAATAGTCCAGATAAGTTTCTTGAGGTTGTCCTGGCTTGAAAGCTACCGCTTTCAATCTGCTGAACTTTGCAGTAAGTCTTGCTATGCTTCTTTACTTCCTTCCCACTTTCAATCTACTGCATTTCCTGCAATACAGTAAAGTCGTTAAGCTTGTTTTTGCTTGCCTTGGATTAGAAGCCTCTTGCTACCTTTAATCTACTCTATTTTCAGCAATACTGATTTCATTGCGGATTGGTTTGTTTTAAAGGCTCTTGCTACTTTTAAATTAATTAATCTACTAAACATTTACCTCAGTAGATTTCCTGAAGATTGCCTTGGTTCTAGAAGCCTCTTTGCTTTTAAGCTACTGTATTCCCAACAATGGATTCACCTGGATTCCTTGCTTTAAAGGTCTCTTTTAGTTTTCAATCTCCGAATACTCAGTTATAGTCTAGGTTAGCTTCCTGGAGGTTGCCTTGGTTTCGAGAAGGCAGATGAATCGAGGAATTCTAAAGCATTTTAGACTTTCTATCAACTAGCAGCCCAGAGACTGTTAAATCACTATACAGTAAGTCTAGAGGGCCTCCGCCCACAAAAACGTTTAAATGCCCACTTTGTACCTTGAGCACCTAACTATGAGCTAGCTGTAGAATCTAGTGAGTAGAGTCCAGTAGACATCCAAGTACAGGATCTAAAAATTCATGATTAGCATGAAAGCTGAGCTACGAGATGAGCATAGTATGAGCATAATATGAGCATAGTATGAGCAATTTTATGAAACTGCCAATAGACCCTCCCAAGGAAAATCTATCGCCATGGTGATACAGCATGCTGTACATCTTCGTCACATGTGGGTGTATATGTAGTAAGCATAGCTGTATATAACTCTACAAGATAATTCATTAAATCAATTAACCAATATCATTCCATCTATTATAAGCTTCAACTCTTATTATCAAGGTCTACTGAGTGAGTGAAGAGAAAAGAAGTGAAAAAGAGTATGGCTTGTTATTTTAATAAGCAACGCATTCATTGCCTTAAATCCATCACTGCCAATCAATGCTTTAAGGGAAATTTAAACAAGTCTACGGATTCTTTTCAAATGGTTCTCAACTACATATGAGCAAATTTGTGGAAGAGACGAATAGACAAGATACCATCAATGAGCTCAATTCAGCGGCCAATTCACTTCGAATAAAAAAACATATGTACGCTATGTTATCACCACAAAGCGCAAAGGATGGCTTTCGAGATTTGGATGATAAATTATTATTAGCTGATTGCTTGGACTACGAAAACGATATCAAGCAAGATCAAGGTGATCATATTGCCGCTCAACAATGCTATGAACTAGTGATGCAATTAAGAATGAAAGTAGCAGATGAAGATAGCCAAGTCATGGCTTAATCTTATCTCAAAATGAGTGTTGTATTGGTTTACAATGGAGATTTAGATCGTGCTATAATCAATTTAAAAAAGTATATCGAAATTGAATTACGACAGAATGAAAGTGGCCAATAATATTGTTGTAGCGAGATGCTATCATAACCTTGGTAAGCAATATTCGTTAAAGGAAAACTTTGAAGAATCGTTGCAAGCCTTTAAGAAATTGTTAGAAATATATATTCCTTTGCGCGGAGAAAGGCCTTTGAGTGCCGCTGCTAAAATAAACTACAATGGAAGCGCTTATAACGGATTAAATCGATACGATGAAGCCATTGCTGTCTAGAAGCAAGCTTTAGACACACAAGTTGAAACATTGGGAAAATATTACGATGATGTTGCGTGTAGTTACAGCGATATAAGCGATGCACATGAATTTATCGGCAAATATGATCAGGCACAAGAAGCGATGCAACTGCGACTCAGGATAGAAAAACAAGATTATGGTCATGCCAACGCCACCGTAGCTAATGCTTTGAATAATATGGGTGTATGTTATAATAAGCAATTTAAATTCCAAGATGCAAAGAAAAATCTGATACGAGCTACTAGAATGCAAGGAGTATATGGTAATATTTCAGATGTAGCTTAGCACAATAAATCTAGTTGATTCTGAGATTGCATTGGATCGATATGAAGCTGCGGAAAATGTGCTATTCAAGTGCTTAAGTATCCGTATGCGAACACGAGGCGGAGATAGTTCTAGCTATGCAGATCTAAAACACAAGTTTACTAAAGTTTACGCCTATATGGATAAAAATAGTAATAAAATTGACAATGCCTTGGATGTAGAGAAGAACTATTAAACACTTGAAAGAATTGCATGTGGCGAAGATCAAAATGTTACCGATGCTTACGATTATTATGATAGTCTACTTTGTAGGAAAGGATTATACGATCTAGCACAATCTCAATTTACGATAGTAATGATAATTTACAGACTATATATGAGCATCTAACGCTATCGGCTTCCAAACATATAATCATTTTGGCGCACTATATTATGCAATTGGTAAATCGAATGAATGCGTCGATATGTTTATCAAGTCTTACCAATTTCAGCTATACAAACTAGGCCAATGTCATTTACTTGTGGCTGCTGCTCAATTCACTTTAGCCTTTGTCTATATGTTGAGGCAGGAATTTGAAAACGCCTTGAGTGAATTTTATAAATTGTCGATGGTATGCATGATTGTCTTAGAAGAGCAAAGTTTATTAGCAGTTGCATGCTACAGCAATATCGGATATCTATATCAGCAACTAGGACTAGAAGGCAAAGCGATAGAAGCATTTGAGAAGGCTGCTGCAATTGAAAAACAATTATTAGGAGATGATCTATATCCTATACCATATTATCTAATACAATTAAATGAAAAATAATGGCTCAAATCCAGTATCTACCGAAATGTATGAGACTATCATCTGGATTTTAATAAAGTGGCTAGAAGATCGAAATACTCAGGAAGGCAAAGATAATGCAATTACATATCAAAATATAGCTTATTACCGAATATTAGCATCAGAATATTGCGAAGTAGAAAGGATGTATAAGGAATATTATCTAATAATATTGAAGCTTGAAGCAATGAAATCTAATAAGAGAAATAGCAAAAATTCTGCGCAAGTCGATAAAGGAAATTGTGAATGGAATAGGTCTGCCACATGTTAAAGTATAAGCTGTTCATTAGCTTCAAATACAAGATAATCATATAGCTTTTTTGATCCTATTTACGTGTTATAACTTGAAATATCAATATTTTATTTCTGTTGATATTGTACCCATTAGAGAATTGAATATTGCATTGATATCCACTTATTTTAGCCGATGTAAGCATTCGAATATTTTAAGCATTACTATTTTTGCTATAATAGGGTACAGCTGTTAATGTTAAAGTAAGAAAACTTTTGCTTTCCTGCAATACTGTAGAACATGAATTGCAACACAAAAAGAATATTTTATTAAATAAATTATCAAACTGTCCATTAGTTATATATCCTGATTTATTCTATTAGCTGACATAACTTTCATATCATTTTAAATCGTTTTCTGTAATCTATCTATTGACAGTTATTACTCGCAGAATAACGACATTGATTATCACTTCAATCGCATTAAAAGAGTACTAATTGAAAATAAGATGACCGTGTTATTTACCCTATCATGAAAAGTTAGCACAGTAGCAGCCTAATAAAAGAATTGGGCATTATGGATAAGCATTAAAAATACCAAGCATCATTGCAACTTAGCATTATACTAACTTTACATCTAGGTAGCAGAATATTTTGATGTTTATTTTGCATCCTATTAAATTATTAGGAGTGACAGTGGCGTCTATTTGATAACGTCAAATTAACATTTATCTGTAATGCTCATTCTATTTCCCTAAGAAAGTGTAAGAACACATAATAATTTTATCAACTAATGAAACGGCTTAATAAACGTTGAATACAAAATGGTTAAATTTAACTACATGCACCTAAATTTTTACGACAGTAGCGACAATCGTTTTGCAATAACAATTACTAAATGAGCAATAAAATCGAAAGCATCCCCTTCCATGATATACTAACCAATTATGCTAGGAAATTCTATTTGTACAATCTACACTTACTAGATTCAATAACCAGACTCAGTTCATTTACTTTACTCGTAAACTATGATTTGATTAACTGCTCCTACTTTCAGAGAATATTACAATGCTTGACATCGGATAGTCCTATTTTCGAATTAGAACTTTTTATGGTTGATTGGGTAGTTGACTCTTTAATTCTAGTCGGTGCTAGAGAGCTTTACTTCAACTTCTTTGGGGCTCTGAATATTGACGTACTAAAGTTTTATATATTTATTCTAACGGTAGCAAATTAAACTATAAAATGCTAGAGTTCTGTATTATAATTTTTTCTTACATGCTTGTTGCAGTTGTCGAAATACAATTTCGATAAAAAGTACGTCATCCCCGTCGATGTATCCAAATTGATTATAACATTCGATGATGAATCAACTTTCATCGAAGAAATCATCATACACGTAAGTCTAAGTATTACGATATCAAAAGATGGGTTCTATGTCGAAAATGGTTAGCCAAGTGAGATTTTCGCAATGACACTACTTTATCACCTAGATTATCTATCCCAAATACTTATGCATTAGCGCTGAATGTTGATGATGCCCTCTTAAAGTTTAGACACAAGTATAGCCTCTAATGAAAATCTTGATGCTAATCGTCTTGCTTCAAATTAGTCTTATGGATCTCCACTTTAACGCTAACTAATCCATAGGAATAATTTGGTGAGGTAATGTTCTAGCAATCCTATCAAGTTACCACATAGAACATCACCAAGGAAAATACTTATGCATTAGCGTTGAATACTGCCGGTGCCCTCTTAAAGCTTCTGCACGAGTATAATCTCCAATGCAAATCTTGATTTTAATCGTTTTGCTTCAAATTAGTATTATTGATCTCCACTTTAACGCTAACTAATCCATAGGAATGATTTGGTGAGGTAATGTTCTAGCAATCCTGTCAAGTTACCACATAGAATATCGCCAAGGAAAATATTTGTGCATTAGCGTTGAATACTGCTAATACCCTCTTAAAGCTTCTGCACAAGTATAACCTCCAATGCAAATCTTGATGCTAATCGTCTTGTTTCAAATTATTATTATTGATCTCCACTTTAACGCTAACTAATCCATAGGAATGATTTGGTGAAGTAATGTTCTAGTAATCCTATCAAGTTACCACATAGAACATCGCCAAGGAAATGTCTTCCAGCTAACGTACGTGACAAAGAGACAATAATAACCCATGCTAATACATAAATTTTATAACCGTTGTGTAGAACTGGATGGTGCAGTAATATACATGCTAAGGCTGTTATTCTACTTGCATGCCCAGATGGAAAAGAATAGTGATCTACCGACGCTAGAACATACATATCGATCTTATTTGCTTCGGGTCTTCGCCTTTGAAATAACATTTTCAAGCAGACAACAATGATAATATCTAAAACGAAAGCTATGGCAAGATTCAAATTGAAAGATAATGAAACAGGATCATGACGGTATAACCATAGCGAAAGAGATATCATCATAAACCACAGGATTTCATGGCCGGAATATTCACACCAAAGCAGAAATTTTCTTATCAGACTTCCTGAAAGAAATCCAATGTCTTTTCCAGAAGAAATAAACAATTTATTGGATAATTGCTCATCAAGTGAGATGATTGAGCTGACAATTACTCCTAATAGGCTATTGCTTGCTCCATCTCTAGTGGCAGAGTGGGAACGGTTGGCTGACTTCGATATCGTGGACGGATTCTGTAACTTTACATTGGATTGAGCATTCCCTCGTGTAGATCTGTTGCTCTTTCTCATGGCAATCTTACAAGCTATTCTTCACTCTATGGACAACTTGATGAAATGCATCAAAAGGAAGATAAATTAGGAATGCTGATTGGTCTAAGATGGACTTCAAGTAAGCTTTGCAATCGCTGGTATAACGTCAAGAAATAACTTTGTGAAGTATGACAATAAAACGATGAAATATATCTAATTCGCTGTCTCTAAGCTAGAGTAGGCAAAGGGATTTCCAATCTAGAAAGCTTGTGTTGATACGGCTTCTTATATGACTGGTGTCACAAAACCGCTTTCGTGATCGTTCCTGAACTAAACTATCTACTCTTCAGGTTCCCGACTAACTCCGGAGATCCTCAGTAAAGGAAAACTAACTTATTCCTATAATATAGAAATGGAGTCCAGCGATAAGTTTAGGTTATTAAATATTTTATTAATAACTGTTACAACTTAGTACTAGTGAACTCTAGCGTAGCTTCAGTGGAAATGCGATTAAAAATTAATAATCATCAGCAACTGTACTACTAGCCACTTATCACAGTGCATCAAGCTTCGTAACACTGGATATTTAATCCTGCCTCAGCTTGACGGTGATTTCTTTAGCAAGGAGAAATAAGCACGCAATGATTGCAGTTTGTAGATCAAAGTTTTATTCAATATCCTACAGTAATTTTAATATGGTAGTAATAGTGGAATGTTTACTGCAGTTTTCGTAGCCAAAATATAACGAGTTGCTAAAAGCAAGAATCTCATTATAAAGACATAAAGATGTTTTATTCTCCTTCAAACTTTACCTTTCTATTCTCGAACTGCTCACCTTGAAGAAAATATTCAGCCCTCTCGAATCAAATTACGATTTATTTCTCAGATCAGCAATAGATAGCATGCCTCGGAAATGGATAAAGTCAACGTCAACTTTCTATCCAAAACCAAGATATATGTGTTTAAAGTCGTTACAGCCTGGTAATATAAGAGCAGCTTCTGTGTAGTCTTTACATCCGTTGTTATGCATAGAAATGCTTTGGAAACCTTAACTGCCTATAGGCAATTATGTAAATAAGATCTCATGAATTAATTGATTTAGTTTTGAGTATGCGTTGTAGAGGGTACTGCCATCGAGATCCAATTTGAACGGTCTAGTCCTGGCTGATTTAAGAGTAGAGTAAAAGCTTCAAGGAGATGCTGATTGGAAACCATAATTTCAGGTTATAGTGAAGAGATTGGCCATGTCCACTTCAAATTAAAGTAGTCCTAAAGTGTAGACTTAGCAAAGTAATAGACTCAGGAAAGCTAGTTAGTCTTTATCCTATGGTGTACAAGCTATGATATCAACATTGTCTTACTTCAGTGGAGTGATAGGTTGACATTGATAGAGCTTTTGAAGTTGCTGATCAGGGATTAATTTCTTAGCCAATTTTGATATCATTTTAACATTATTGAACCCCACGTTTACACGTAGATCATTAACAAGTTAAGAAAGCCTTACTGAAATTTTAAACATCGGTAAAGCAAGCTGTATTGTAATACGCCAACATGGCGAAAACTCCCTCCGAATCAAAGATGAAGGGAAATAGCCAAAATTCAATCTTTCATCAGATTATTGATTATGATCGTCAATTTTCCAAGAAATTATGTATTTGCTCAGAAAGGGATGTTGGATTTTTCACCGGTAGCCATACTAGAAAGGTGTTACTACTGTGGGAATATTCTGGGCATGGCGTGCTCTGGCTGCTGGCTGTAACTGCTCTCCTCTATCATTCTTGGCATGATCCAATCATGAAACCATTCTATCAGAATATTATGACTGCTTGGTGGGTCGATATTTTAGTCATTATTGTCTTGAAGGCAACATTTCGCCGTAGTAGACCAGCTACCAATAGGAATGATATGTACCTAACTGGTTATGTCGATCGACATTCATTTCCTTCTGGTCATGCTACAAGAGCATCGCTTATGGCTTGTATATTCCTTCAATATTCGTTTATTACTGTCATGAACAAGGTGATGATTGTTTTATGGGCACTTTTACTCTCTGTTTCACGTATACTATCAGGAAGACATCATATTAGTGATGTGATCTGTGGAATAATTATTGGAATTTTACAATTTTATTTTATAAAAGCTTACGTGTGGTTTATTTCATGATCGATAAGAGATAGAGTTTAATTTCCTTTCTGTAACCTATCCTTGAACGCTTTTTACATGGAATGGCACGATGAAATTCATGTTCAGGAATCATCCATCAAGCTAACTGGTAAAATTGATCAAGTAGTCGCGGTCCCATGTAGAGGCTGTATAATCTCTTACTAGCTAAGAGATGGGAGTTATTAAAATTCCTTGTCTATTAAAGTGTAGCTAATTACTCAAATTGTACTTAAAAGTAAATTAGACATAGGTTTTAAGACAATCTAACGCTATAAACTACTAAATATTAAAGAAATCAATACTTTAGGTATATAAATTTATATGAAGCTCAGTAACAAGAATTTGTGTCGTTCCATTTAGCTATCTTACTTACAATAGTAAATGTTAAACCAGGTAAAAAGAGACAAAGTTAATAAATAAAACGAGCAATTATTGCGTTCTTATGCACAAGAAATTATTTTATATTTCAAGAAATCAGTAAGATACAGAACAACACAATAAACCATTTTACTGCCATCCTTTTTGCAGTAAGTTGCTCAGTAAATGCCGTTAAGCTTTCTAATCGTTATATAAATCTCGTGGAAAAGTAGTTATAAGCTAATAAACGTTATGTAGGATTTTAAAACTAAATGGCCACGTTTAAATAGCATAAAGGCATCTGGAAAAATTTCATTATTGGCTGAAAATAAATAAATTCTGTGAAATTATATCGAAATTACGCTACCCTACTTTAATTTTTTTCTGGGCTAGCAATAATAAAATTAAGTTCAGAGCAGAATATCTTTCACCAGGAGAATTATAATGAATAAACCTGTTCGGCTAAAATAATGAAAATAGAAAAAACTATTTATTACTTAGATGAATAACTCGATAAATTTGTCCTTAGTGATACTTACCTGGTGATGATTGCTTGACAATAAACTTTACTAAAAATAAAACAATAATTTATCCTGTTCAAACACAAAGTTACTACGACAACATCAATATAATTTTTATTTTTTGAAATTGCTATCAAAATAGCTACAATATCATAGTGATAAAAGTATTTAACTTAAAATTATGATGATGATTTCACAAGGGACTATTATCACTGATTGTCTCATAAAGACTTACTCTAGCTAATTGTTACCTTATTTTCGTCAGATAATATGCTTTGATATTTGTTGAAATACCGTTACCTATGATGTTATACGTGTTACTGTTCAGTATTTAGAATCGTAATGTAGGTAGATATCAGGGAGGACAAACCTGAAAGTGAGCTCATGGTGTTAATATTCTGTAATAGTAATATTTTTTTTCGTTACAAATTTTGAATTGTAACATCCATACGTAGAATAATTTGAATACATTGAATAAACTACCTTTAAAATTTTTCAGGCATTACAGTAGGAGGTACTATGATGATATATTTACTCTATCACATTCATACCGTATGTCATTAATCTTTATTATTTTGTAATAGTATCATTTCTATTTTAAGATTTCATTAAAATCAGTCTCCATTAGCGATAATTTCTGTAGGGCTTACTAACACCTCTATACTACCTTCCACATCATTAAATAGATATTGATTGCAACTGTTATTTTTTCAGTTTACGCGAATTATAATATATTTTGTAGCAAAGATCTTTGGTTTTAGCTTGAAAGCGCTTATCATAACGTCGATTAATTCATCATCGCGTTTTCGAAAATTGTATTCTCTAATTCATGCTTATTACAGTGCCTCTATATCAGAAGGAGTAATTGATGTTAAGTGTTTTAGCCGTCTCTTATGTAATAAACTTAGCTATAGTAAACTAGTACTGCCCAGTAAGGTAAGTCTGGAATAACTTTTTAATTTTAACAGGATGTTGTATCGCAGTGTAGATATCTTACAGCACCTCCTAATCTTAACTTGGTATGTCCATCAATGTACATTAGTTATCATAATGTGCTTTGTATCATTAACTAATCTTAATATAGCATTTCATAGCATTTCATCCGTGAATGCATTATCGAAAAGTAGTATTCTAGAAGCATAGCTGTGAATATAGTAGTGCCTGGCTATTACCGGGATATATTTTATATAATGTCGAATGGCAACGGTAATACTATCTGTTAATTATTAATAAATGGGTGCATTATCGTAAACCGTCTGCAAAGTGACGTGAGTTTGTACTAGTTATTATAAAATACGAAAGTGTGTGATACTTTCCTGTTGTAACGTATTTCTTAAATCAAATGATTTCTGTTCCGCATAATTGATATATTTTAGCCCTTTTAAATGTGCGATCAATCTTTTATACCATATCTTACTTTGATATTGAATAATTGAGCTATTTTTAAGAAATTTAAACTTTAAGAGGAGCTTTTTAGGCTATTTGAGACGGATCCTACAGTATTTTCTATTCTATATTTGTAGCCATGTTACAACCACTCTTGTAAGACAGCTACTACCTCCAACAGCGGTAAAGCACTGACACTTGTCTTTTCTAGGATCAATTCTAGAACTCTCTTTACTATAAAAAGTAACCTATTTTTATATTTTCTAACTAGATCTGCTAGCTGCTACAGAGTGCTTAAAGAAATCTGAACACTAATAAACTTTGTCAGCTGTACCGTATGTTTTTAGATCTAAGTTAGTGTAACTTTAAACTCTACTTTAGTATACGTTAAGCATCCATATAACAGGAGATTAATCAACCATGATCAGAACACGATCTGACTTTCGAGCATTCCTATAAATTAAGTATCTGCCTAATTCACTTTCCTTTACCGGAAATGCATTAAATATTTACTAGCAATCTATATACATAACATTATTCTACTTGTTGCACTACGAGTACTGTGTTAAGCGATTTTTTGATTACTTTTACAATTTAGGAACATAACTTTATATATAAGTTAAAAAGCTAACGATTTTTTCGTTGCCTTATCATAATTGAGTAGAAACTGATAGTTATCGCACAAATCAAATACTTATCACCGTTAATTGCTATTAACTTCAGGATATCATCAGACAGAACAAAAAATTCGAGATGCCTATCCCAGTAGTAGTAATAAATATCTATGTTTATCTTAATATTGTGGTGCACAATAGAAACCGAACCAGTTTTTAGTAAATCAAGATAAAACGATTGATTGTAAGAATGCAACTGTCTATTATAATATAGTCGTGATAATAATTATAAATTAACAACGATATATTTTCACGCATTTCTAGTAAATACAATGGGTAATATAGAAATTTTAAATTGCTATTTCGAAAAAAATTCATTTAACTGTAAACTGTGAAATAAACGTATGTTAGAAAAAGATAATTGTAATACTGTAACCTGCAATCATAATTCAGTATTGAGCAAATGGAAAAAACTCCCAATTATTTTCTTACCAAAACATAAATATTCAATGAAAATGATGAGAATTCGTCGTTGTCACTTTGAGTTTTAATTATCAGTTTAGAGTCTTAATTCATATAACAGTCATTCATAAAAATCTGCTAGAAGCCTTTTTCTTCATCGAAGCGAATATCTTACTCTTATGTAACAAGTTATTGTCAATGATCGTACGGTGAAGGAAGTTTATAATTAAAGCGATGCAAATTTTGCTATAGCTATGGTCTACTAACATATTTTTTAGTCTATGCCTTAGCTAAGAATAAATGAGGGTATTTAAAATTAGATATTAACAATCGTGAGATTGAATTTAATTAACCTTCATATGGCATCTATTGTTCCAGATTTGAATATCTAGCTATTCACATTTTTAAATGCGTCGGCGAAATGTAGAATTTATTTTATCATATTGCTAGCGAAAAATCACAACACTTTAAGCAGTTCCAGCAGAAGCACAACATATGCTCCAAATGAGATTCAAGTTTTAGAGTTATTAAAGTACGAAGCAGCATATTTGATATGTTTCTATAAAACAAAACACAAACATTTCCGATAATATTCTGGGTTAATTTAAATTTTATGATGCAATTAGTGTAGTAAATTAGTTATGAGCGCAATAATGCAGAATTTCAAAAAATATATTAGCTACCTATGAATGAAACAAGCTAAATACATATATGATTCAAAAATAGAAGTCAGCAGATGCAGTTTCCGTAGCGTCAGATATATTATGTCGGCGGCAAAATTTATTTTTATCGGTGACTCTCAATAGCAAATTCTTTATATTTCATTCTCTATAAATAGAAAATATTTTAATTATTTACGAACTTCCATAACCAACAATCTGCAGACTGAAACTTATTATTGCGGTTTGAGCATGGCAAGCTAACAATCTGTTTTAGGTATTTATTTATAAATTCATTTACAATAAAACAATTAATAATAAAAGCCGCAGTGATACTAACGAACTGAAAGTATTTTTATTGTAAACTTACATTTTGTTTAGAAATAATTCGAGATTTCCTTTATTCTTTACACTTAGCTAACGGTTATAGGTTACAACCTTAGAATTTGAGATAGTGCGAGTTCGTTTCTAGTAATATAACTGCATACTAGCTATTTCTATTCAGAAATATGATGATATTGTTGCAGTAATTAATTACCTATGAACTCTTTACATTTATTAGATACGTGTAGAAGTTGATATGGAATGTATAATTAAATTATACTTAGTTATTATTAATTGTTAGTACCCAGCTTGGCAACGATTAAAAGTTTCTTATAATTTAGATACAAAGTCAAAAGCCACCGCTATGACTATTATTCCCTAAATACAGCTGCACTATATTTCGTGAAAAAATTCTAGTTCCGTAGAAAAATCTTTCACAAGAATAAATTACGTTTGCTATCAGCATTCCTAATTAAAAAGAGTTCATAAAACTTGTTAGCATACAAGCAGATTCTCTCCTACACTATTCTACTTTTCTGTTTTTCTTGTCTAAAACAGTACTTCGAGATCCTAGTGTTGAACGAGTATCGTAGCTCTATCTACTTAACAATATTATGGCATCACTACCG